ACGTGAACAATAGCAAAACTATTTGTCAAGATAGAATGAAAATAAAAATACAAACAAATGTGGCCCATCCACTGCGTGCAGCTAAGTCAGACTACGGCGGAGCATCGCCCGAATGACGGATTACCAACTGATACAGATTAGTACCAAAGACTGAGAAAGCACAAATGAAAGATCTCGACTCAAATTTGATGACGAGCCAAGAGAGACATGAAAGATTGAGGTGACAAACTGTTCGAGATGAACGTGCGTATAGAAAAACGCAAAACAATGGTGATCACCGTCAATTGCGAAAAAGAATAAGTCAACTGTTGCTGAAATTGGAAATGTTTTTAAGTTCCGTGGCTAGCAGCAAGAAAAACAGAAAATTCTTTCGTTGACACAGACAAGACATTTCGATGGAACTATGGTTCATCCTCAAAGAATCGACAATCAAATAGACAGTGCCTAAGTCAGCTTCTCTCATCCATCTGGAGGAACGTTTAAATTTGCTAATAAGGCAATACATTAGGCTCGCACCACAGAAATGTCAAAAGAGCTAACCTAAGCCTTACAGGTTCGGTTCGACCTGCTGCCACTCGATACGATTCCTTGGACGTTTATTTGTTTATCACCCGTTGCAAATTTTGCAATCTATTCGTTGATCGAAACTGATGAACAGTTTGGCCTCAAACGTGGGAAATGAGTAAAATAAAAAATATTCTTGCCATTCCTATTCAAAACGATGATTAAAAAATGGAGGATGCCCTAGAGTCCTAATACATTTGCTCCAAGCACAGAAAATACGCAACAAACGAAACTCTTCGTCACTTCGCGATGTTTAAATTAGTTTCATACAAATCTAAACATTTTACCTTGATTATAAACGTTAAGCATTGCAACTGGTAAGGAGAAAGCGAACGATCCAGCCTCTCGGTAAGCCAGTTCTGAACGAGTTTCACTTGCCCTTCGTACCAGTGCTGAAAGCAATAGTTCACTATGGTGAGGAGCAACTTTCAGAACTTCCGAGTAGCATTACTTCGAACAATCGATTGACGTAGATTTCGTCACAGACCAACTGCCGCAACTGCTCCGCACACGCCCTGTTGAAATTCACGTAATCGTGTCCCATATGGCTGCTATTTTGCTTCTTGATAGAAGGCTTCTGAAAACTAGCGAATGTACTCTTACGGTATAGTAGACAGTGTTACAGATCCTACAGGAATACGCGCTATTAAAAGCAAGAAAGCGATACTACTTTTACCTTTTATATAACAGTAGTATAAAAAATGGCTGTTGAAAGAGTGAAAAGACAAATATTAATTTCTGTCTTCGAAAATTCTTAGCAGCATAGGTTACACAGTTCATGAGAGCAACAGCTAAAGTTCAAGGATAAACATGCAACTAAACCTGTTTACCTCTTTTGCATGATCTAATAATAACACCTGAAAGACAACATTTCAGCGCATGTTGCACCTTCCACTGCTACTAGGTGTTAGGGGCATTTAAAGAGACAACGGCTCAGCGGCATTTGAGCACCTGTTGTGACACACGCAGTTTTGCATAATTTAATTCATTGGAACCATCTCCCGCTTATTACGAACCTTGTTTCAGGAGTTGATTCTCGTCACTGTTACTTAGTGCTACTTTTCATGATATGTAAACTACTAGCTTCAAACGTTACTGATCCCAAATTTTGAAGCTAACGGACTGCACTCGCAAAACCGTGGTGGCAATGAGGAAAGAGCATAATACTAAATAAGATTTACAATTTAAATCTATTATGTACCTGCTGCACTGTGGACGACTGCACCAACATAGGCGCTTCGGTAACCATCGATTTCATCTACAAGATTTTCAATTCAAATTAGGAGTAGGGATATAAATATTTTGCGCATAGAGAATTATATGATGTATTACCTGATTAATCAAAATCATTAACATTACACATTTCACGTTATAACCTACGGATAATATGTAGATGTGTAAGCGATAGTAGCGATCTATTCACACAGTAATATATATCACTTTTAACTGCACTTTGTCGTCTAATTTATCCTGAGTAAATCAAGGGCATGGAGTAACTGTTGGAAAATGATTGGGCAAAAACCAGACAGCAGCTGGAATGACCTCTAACTTCATGCAGCTCGATCGCAGATCACACATCTGTTACATAAGGACTGGTTTTTCAAAAGATTTAAGACACCGACCCTTTACCAACAAAGTAAAAATTCAAGAAATATATGTCATTAAAATAAGTTGCACAGGGCGTAGTATAGCACTGCGTGATAGTACTAAATTACCTCAAAAACATCATAAATAATGCATAGAGTCATTGATACAACTGTATGAAATTGAAGTAATGGCTTTCGTAATCTGCATAAATTTTCATATAGTAATGATACACGGACAAGAAAGCGTAGCACACATAAAAGAGTGAATTTCATGTATGCTGCATGAAGACTGTTGCATCTGTGGAATGTTTACAGTGCTATCAAATAATCGATTAAAGACAGATAAGGCAGCACTGTGGATGCTATATCGGTAGTACTGTACTAGTCGCCTTTGCTTTGAAAGAAGGGATGAGTAGGTATCCCGCGTTTTTCCTACCACTGATACAAATCGCTGGCTCCCGATGCACATCGTGTTCTCAAACAAAAGCTGACATGACACGTGAAATCACGGCACTCACCGTAGGAACGAACGACGACGCCACGACTGATTCTTTAGCAACACTGTCGAGCAGAGTGAGACGCAGCAGTCGCCAATACATCTTCATCTTCCATAGCGCTTCTCCATTCGGGGCGCGCAGCCGCCAATACAGAAAGCTTATTTTCAAACTGACCACCGAACCCCATGGCTCACCAAAAATTGTGGAATTCAGACAGGGCAAGAGCGCTACAGACACCTCCTTCACCGTTGGAAGATGAAATTCAGTTCGCAGAATAACTGCGGCTATGAAGATCAGATTATGGAGCATATTTGCTTCCAACTGCTGTTCAGACAGACAATTAGTTTGTGTTCAATGGAACAAGCAACACCGTCTCCTATTTTAATACAGGACTTTTTGCTAGATAACCAGATTATGCGGTTAAGTAAAGAGATGATTTTATGACATGATGATTATGTCACTAAGGGATTATATGATTAAGATCACAGCCGCTGATCTGAGTAACTGATCATCGTTGTCGGCGGTAGTACACTGCTATTCTAATGTTTCGAATAATTACTGGGTCGCTGAGAAAACGAACGCTGAACTCAGGTATGCATGCTGCTAGGATAAAGTGCTACCATACTTTCTTTATTCGCGTATGTTTGAATAAATGAATATTTACACCACATGCAGCTATGTTGGTTGCTCCAATTTCTGTTCATCACTTGAACAAGAGAGTCACTTGTGTGCGGGCAAATACACCATTTTCAGGGACACGATCGCCATTTAATACTACATGCAAAAATCAATTATCACTTTCTCTGCACAGCGCAGCAGGGCGTGAATATATGCCGGTCTTATACTTGTGGTGCTTTATATACAAAACCTGATTATTTTATTATTATGCATATATTATAAACAATTACCAATTCAACAACAATAGAAAATAAAATGCAATTTGTCCAAATATGCGAACAGCATTACATTTCGCGATGATTCTGAGCAAAAAGACAATGAAGAGAGTCAGCTGATCTCAGGCAGGCGTGTGGATGCGCGACTGTGAACAAAATAGACACCACGCTCGATCATAAGCAGAATAAAACCATTTTTCTGACTTAATTTTCGAAGTAAAAACATAATGGTTTGATAAAAAGTTCTACACTTAATATTAATGACGACAATACATACGAAATTACCACTAAAACACTATATGTGCAAAACAATAAACGGACACTCACCTTCGAGAAGAAATTGTTCGGTTTAGGCTGAAAAATATGATCAATAAACAAACAAAAAAAGAAATACGCCAATAAATATACACAGTAAAGAATACAAAACTCAAGCAGCATGTCAATTTCAACGATATGAAAACTGCCTTTCCCTATCTTAAGCCTGAACACCGGATGCATTTGAAACTTAGTGCTTTGCTCTGAACTAGTGATTAAGAAGCCGGTGAATTAGCATAAGAAGGTTATCATAATTATCTAAGTGTGTAAGACTCGAGACGAACACACTTTGGTCAGTACAGAGTACCGTGTTCAAAAAGTCAAAATAAAAATAAGCCTCGCCATTACAGGACAGTTTTCTAGACCGTGGACAAGAATAACAATCGTATGCCACCATCTGAATTCCTACGACGTAACTGCACCATCTCTCTTGCATCTAGTAATATCGGAGACCGTTTTAGCAAGTCACGGTCCCATGGTATTTTGGCACCTGCAAGTGGTGTTGATTTGCGCCCAAACACTGCAGGTTCTAAAATACCTTAGGAACGTGACCTGCTAAATTGGTCCTTTATGAAAATAGAAGCCAGGGAGATGATGCGACTATACAGTAGGAATCCGCATGATGACAAAGGAATGAAAGTCAAGACTTTCGATTATTTGTGAAAGTCGCTCAGGCTCTGCGAGAGAAATGGCACGATATTTTTTGGTAA